GGTTGGTGAAATCACCTTGGCGTAGGAGCAGGATGGAGGTCAGGTTTCCCACCAGCAGGGTCTAGCTGCTCCTCTACCTGCTGCCACCCCCTCTCCCACACCAAAACCGACTCAGGAGATCCTGGGTCCAAAGCCTGATGGCAACAGATAGAAGCACAGCTGGAGATGCTGAGGCACTCAGCCCTGCGTCCCACCATGAGTCTCCTCTGATCTGCATGATGCCATTTGATTCAATCAAGCACCCATCTGCCAAGGAAAAATGTTGCACCCTAAGCAGTCGGCCAAGACTAGCGGGAGCTTGACGGAAATCCTGAGACAGTACCTGTTCCGATTAGCAGAGATTTCCGGTGCCATCATAACCCCTGTCCTATTGGCATCATTCCGTAATTTTAAACACTCCAAAAAACAGATACATTTTAATTTAGAATTGAACGGTGTTGAGCGAATAGCCTTGCAGATAGCAGATCACATGACTGAGGGGACCCGAGTTTCCTTTAATCCTCACCCAGAAGTTTGGCAGGGAGGTGCGGGGGGGGGGGAGTCTGTTTTTTTCTGGATTGTCACCAGGTTTTAAGTTACAGAGATAAATTCGGCATTTTTTTCCCAGGCACATGCAGCGAGGGCAACAGATGTCAAGGAAGGGCCAAAACGAGACGGCTTACAGTCCGAGGGACACTGAGGACAAGTGGGAATGTCTTTCAGGGTAACCTAATTGCTTTTTGGTTGGGCAGACACTATAATCTACTCCCCCCCCCCACCGCCGCCGTCACCACCACACACACAACTGAAGGCGGTAACCTCTGTCGCTAAGACAATGAGAGTATTGAGAACAGCTCCAGTGGTGGTAATGAGAGCCTGTTGAAAAGTGGATTTTGTTGGGGGAGGGGGCAGCCTGACCTGGTGCCAGCCTCTTCCCCTGCTAAACTCCCACTACTGAGAGAGGGAGGGGGGAAGTAGACTTCTCCCCCCCTTAATGCTACATTTCTCCGTTCTTCTGTGGGCCTCGGGGATATGGGGAGGGGGTGATGCAGTGGAGGTATGCGTGTGCTATGTTATGCGACTGGACGCCGTGAAATCCCATCAAGGCACTGGGGCTCCCTCGAAGGGCCCGGGGTCAGTTGGCAGTGCCTCGGCCTCAGGGAACCGCTGACTAGCAGGAATGGCGGGGCAGCTAAAGCCTGCCAGACGGGCTTTTTAAAAAAACTTTTTCAAATGGCTTTACAAATCCTGTGCAAGCCGTTAAGCGAAACTGCAGCGATTTAGGAACTGTCCTGTCACATCGAACTGTCAGCGGTCTCCCCCCCCCCACAACAGCAGAATACCCAAATTGTCATCTCAAACCCATCACAGCAGCCTCACATAAATACTTTTTCCCGAAATGCACGCATACTGTCAGATCAAGCCCAACACCCAACAGTTGCACACTAATCCCCTGTACTGATACAACAACTACACCACTGTAATCAAACCCAGCATCCTGCAGCAGTTGCAGACTAATCCCCTGTACTGATACAACAACTACACCACTGTAATCAAACCCAGCATCCTGCAGCAGTTGCAGACTAATCCCCTGTACTGATAAAATGATCACACCAACAAATCAAGTCCAAAGTCTTAGAGCCGTCACTCACTGTCGGAATGTGTCTGAGTCTGAAGGGGCTGCTACCCCCACATCAGGAGCCCAGAGCAGAAGCCTTCAAATGGTCGTATGACACAAAACTATGAATCATACACACCGATCAGTCATACCATTAAAACCACCTGCTTAATATCGTGTAGTCCCCCCCCCACTGCCAAAATAGCTCGGACCCACTGAGGCATGGACTCTACAAGACCTCTGAAGGTGTCCTGAGGTATCTGGCACCAAGGCATTAGCAACAGATTCTTTAAGTCTTGCAAGTTCCTCCATGGATCAGACTTGTTTGCCCAGCACGTCCCACAAATGCTCAATCGGATTGAAATCTGGGGAATTTGGAGGCCAAGTCAACCCCTTGATCATGTTCCTCAAACCATTCCTGAACATTTGGAGTGTGACAGGGCACATTATCCTGCTGAAAAAGGCAACTACCATCAGGGGATACCATCGCCATGAAGGGGTGCACTTGGTCTGCAACAATGTTTATTTAGGTGGTGTGTGTCAAAGCAACATCCACATGAATGCCCAGAACAAAAGTTTTTCAGAAGAACATTGTCCAGAGCGTTATACTGCCTCTGCCAACCGCCTTCTTCTCATGGGGCATCCTGGTTGAAACTCAGGTAAATGAAGCACACGCACCCAGTCATCTACATGACGTAACAGAAAACATGACTCATTTGACCAGGAAGCTTTTGGCCACTGCTCCAAGGTCCAATCCTGATGCTCATGTGCCCATTGTAGGCACTTTTGGTAGTGGATGGTGGTCAGCAATGGCACTCTGATGAATCTGTGGCTATGCAGTGCCATAATCCAGCAAGCTGTGTTCTGACACCCTTCTATCATAGCCAGCATTAACTTTTTCATCAATTTGTGATACAGTAGCTCTCCTGTGGGATCGGACCAGACAGGCTTGCCTTTGCTCCCCACGCACATCAATTAGCCTTGAGCGCCCATAACCCCATAGTTGGCTCACCAGTTGCCCTGCCTTGGACCACGTTTGGTAGGAATTGACCACTACATCCCAGGAACACCCCAGAAGACCTTATGTTTTGGAGATGCTCTGACCCAATGGTCTAGCCATCACAATTTGATCCTTGTCAAAGTCGCTCAGGTCCTTGCGCTTGTCCATTTTTCCAGCTTCCAACACATCAACTCCATGAACTGACTGTTCACTTGCCTAATATATAATGTCACTCCTGATCGGTGCACCACCTTAATAAGACAAGGGTGTCTTTGAGAATGGAGAAGGGAGGCATCCGGGGAGCTTGGGATTGGCGGGGAGCAAGAGCATAGTGGACTTACGGTAGAGGCAGCCTGCTTCTCCGTTGAGCTGGGACCAGCCGGGGCAGCACTTGTAGACGGTGCGGTACTCCTGCTGGTACACCTGCCGGTAAGCTGTGTAGTAGGCCGTCCTGCAACGGGACGAGGTGCGTTATCTATACGGGTGCAGAGCCCATTGGCTGGCCCCATGACCTGTAGGTTGACACGTGCTGATCCCAAATCCCCACCCTTGACTCCAGGTTAATCACACCCTCTCTCCTGCCCTGCTGTCGTCCGAGAGCTTCAACAGCCTCAGCTCGGCGAGGCCAGGTGATCCCAAGATCACTCTGACTGTCAACAGCTGATCCACTGGCCCTACTTTGGGAGGTGTTCATTTGGCGAATGAGTAAGATGGGTCAAGTAAAAGAGAGAGCATTTAGGGAGATACTTAATATGATAGCTAGTTAGTTGGTGAAAGAGGATCAAACGTGGACAGGAGTTTTCACGTGTGCCCATTAACACAATTCTCTGTCAAAAGAGACACCAGATACACTAGTCATGAATAACACAAGTTAAATACTGATCTTACATTTGTTCATTATTTGTCCATTCTAGCCTTGGATTAAAAATTATATTTCATAAGTATGGAAAAAATGAAGAAGCAGGCAGTGTTGGGAATTCAGGTGCAGAAACTACAAATCCTGACCAAGATTTTGTTTCAACCAACCAGATGAGTACTCTATGACTGTGACTATTTATGCTCGACTGGTTGGTAGGAACAGAACCTTTCTGGATTTGTAGTTTCTGCACCGGAAATGCCCAGCAACAGAAGTAGGTAAATGTATTAGTAGGTAGAGGAGGTAACAGTGGGTAAATGTAGGTGTAGGTGACTGAGGGGACAGATGACAGGTCTCACCGTCGGTCATAACCCATGCACCACGTTTGGCCTGGGCAGTTCTGCTTCCACACTTTTACAACACGCGTGAAGGCCTGGACACACGGCTGATTCCGTGCTACCAGCATCGCTTCACGTGTTGGGCACACATTGGGCCTGCAGGGGGCAGAAAGGAGAACACAAACACTCAAAAAGATTCAATTCAAATCTACTGATGGAGTCCAACCCTGGTGATCAAATGATCTTCCTAGGGCTCAACCCAACTCCAGTCCAAGGTTTTAACAACGTGCTGGCACCTACTGTACAAACTGCAGTGGCAGTGAATGCTTGATTTTATTTCACAAGAATGAGTTTTTATTTGGGAAGGTGCACCTCAAAAATTAAGACATCTCACTTTATTCATAAATAAAGTTTATTCAGTAATTGGTTTGTTACTATACCAAGGTGTAGGTTTGGTGTGTTACTACCAAGGTGTAACTTTGATTTCTTACTGTAAAGTATAGGTTTGGTTTCTTACTACAAAGGTGTAGGTTTGGTTTCTTACTGCCAAGGTGTAGGTTTGGTTTCTTAATGCCAAGGTGTAGGTTTGGTGTGTTACTACCAAGGTGTAGGTTTGGTGTGTTACTACCAAGGTGTAGGTTTGGTTTCTAACTGCCAAGGTGTAGGTTTGGTTTCTTACTGCCAAGGTGTAGGTTTGGTTTCTTACTACCAAGGTGTAGGTTTGGTGTGTTACTACCAAGGTGTAGGTTTGGTTTCTAACTGCCAAGGTGTAGGTTTGGTGTGTTTCTACCAATGTGTAAGTTTGGTTTCGATATTGATAGGGACCAAATCAGCCCTGAAAATCCCCGCTCCCTAAAAACGTCCCTTCTCTCCATACCCAAACCTACGCCCTTGATTACTATAAATTATCCATGTGAAAACAATTTATATCAATGTCACATTTCTCTCAGGTGCTTTTTATCTCTCAGCATCAGAGTCGTATAGTACTCATGTGAAACAGATCCAAGGCGCTACTTTTACAGTTTTTTAGTGCAGTTTTTATATCTACTACATTTTACTAAAGCAAATCTTCAACAGCATTTCAAGACAGATTAAACAAAAAGGTTTAAGCAATGGCATATATTTGGGCTGAGCATTGGGAAGGTTGAGGTCTCCACGCATTTAAGGGGGTCCGAGGGGTTGTATCGCCCCTTAATTTACGCCGATGCATAGAAGTTCTACACAAAACTAAACACGGAATCCGTTATTGCTGCTCGGGAATGCACTCAGTCAGACATATTTTAATGCTCGTGCATGACGCAAAACCTGATGTAGGACGTGGCTGTTAGGGATAATTAGGCCTACAGTAATTTATAAGCCTATAATAATAACCTAATAACCGAATGCATGTTCAATATGCGGAGGTATACGTTTAAAATGTCTCTAAAATCATATTATGTGTAGTCTATATTGAGTTATTTTCTGCGCGCAAACACGTGGTTTTTGCAGAGTATACAGCGATTTGAAACTTAATAAAATCTAACGTATTATACAGCGCCCACTTAGCCTAACAGGCATATTACTCTGTACAAGAAGCATTTAATCATAACGATATCGAGTCGTACATTTACAGTAATAAAGTTTTCACCAGAAATCCAGTTTTGTCTGTTTTCTAAGATAGGACGCACGGAAAGCACCCTTTTAATCGCGAAATATAAATGTAATTAATCTAATCATTAGACAGTTATATTAATTAGGATTCATTCATTTTAATCAGTCAGCGGTCTATAGACTCGATGACATGTAAATATCGCATGTATACGTCACTGTCAAAGTTGATACACCAGAGGCGTAAAACATACCCTCTATTAGTAGGTTGAGTTAAAGCACTTTAAATAGTATCCTAACGATTTAGCTGAAAAATGATTACTTACATGTAGGGCTGCAGATCGCTTCCAGTGATGACGGATGCACGGATCCCACGTATTACCAAGATAAACACAGCAGCTAGTTCAATAAGCATTTCCTGAAGTAGTTGGGTTTAGAGATATTCAAGACTTACTTGCCAAGACCGAGATCAATAATTTAAAGGTAAAATACCCCGAAAATATTTCGTTTTTATACCTAAATTTAGCGCTTCAGTTTTTTTACAATTACATCTGAACACACTTTCATCTTCTGCAGAAAAACCGCATCTATCACAGTAAATCTACAAGTCTATAAGTTTCAATCCTGATGATTCCTCTTGATCGCCCTAAGAAACATAATTAACCTTTAGGGTCTAGGCGCGGAGGACCTATTTGAGCGAGCGCCCCAAATCCTGCGCCAATTCCTTAATGGGACCCTGGATGGGACGAAGCAGTGGATCAGGTTGGTCACACCCATGTCAGGTCTAAAGTATAATTTCACCAAGTGGGGTTCTACGTCTCCTCCCACCCGCCTAAGATCCCGTAGCAGCGTGGGCTCATCCCTCGAAGTGAAAAGGAATCAAGACAAAAAATAACTTTCGTGAAAATTAAACGCTTCGGACAAAAGCAACCGCTAAAGAAACATAGTTTAAATTATGTACGTTGTTAATTCGGGGGAAAGCGCGTTTATTATAATACGCACGGTGACAGTGGAAGTGACGGTGCCTTAATTAGATCTGCAAAAATTCTTACAGTTTGACTTTTTTTCATTTGTTGCATTAATTCGACCGAAGGTTTGCTCATTTAAAATACTATCTGAAGTTTACCGAAAAGCAGACATAGAGCCGTCCAGCTCAGGCTCGGCACGCCAGTCCAAAGATAGGGTTCCCAAACACCACGACATTTTAAGTGCAATTTGATGTTATCGGCTGACCCGAGCAGCAAGTCATTAATCTGTAGGTCGAAGCAGGTTCTAAAGAGTAAACTCGCAAGAACATGAGGAAAACATAACACTTGCAGACTCGATTCGGATTCAGGACCCCCAGGCGTAGAATTATTACTAAATACCACCATCGAAACACTGTCATCTCCGGACAAGTAGGCCTACTGAAACATTATTAACTATGTTAACCTGTACATTAATGTTGTTTGTACCTTGGGGGAACAAAACTGTACCGGGGCTGTGCAGTTTTTAATGGCAGTGCAGGAATTGTTTGCTGATATTAAGATATTAGTTTTAGGAGAATCTGGTAGTGTGGGAGTCACAGAGAGTGACACCCTGAAGACTCTTGTTTAAAGTCAATGAAGAAGGTACTCAGCTCCATTTAGCAAAAAGCAAAATATAAATGACCATGGAAAAAAAATCTCCTCACATTCCTGTAAAATTATAAGTCACTTTGGATAAATACTTTAACTAAATAAACATGGGTGAGGATCAAAAACAAGTATCAGAATTCATCTTTTGAAATATTTCAAAGTGAATTAACAATTAAAATCTGCTCCAGGTGAATCAGTACAGCACAACCCCCTAAAAACCTTAAAATGAAAGTCTTTCATATGCATCTTGGTCCACTGAAGCTGTTTATAAGGCATAATTCACCTTCAGACCGAATCACCTACCAAGTCATTCTTAACGAGAGTGTGAAACGCTTAAAAAACCTGACTTTGAACTGTCAATCCTCAAAGCACTTTGTTTAGTTTAAAGAGGAGAGCAGACAAAGATGGTGTATGTACACGTCTCTCTGGGTTCCGAGGATGTGAATGCAGGTGCTGTCCACTTTCTCTTTACAGACCAGGCTGACATTCATTGTTAATGCAGTGTTCTCCAGACAGCCTCTCAATCTGACGCCTGTGGCGTCAATCGCTCCCGTCGACCCCCATAAAAGATTAAACGAGGCTCTGGAAGAAGAAGGCAGAGCAGTAAAAGGAGTTTTCTTAAGGCAGGGGTTTGATTTAGGGGTTGCTGAAAACCTGCCGCCCAGCCTGGGGGCGACAGCATCCTCGGGTCCGGCCAGGAGTGCCGGTGTCTTGATACCGGTCGTCCCCTCGTGTATTGTGGGGGGGTAAATAAGAGCTTCCTGGCTTCACTCAGTGGCTGGAGGCAGCTGGAGTTCGTTATCTGACGCTAACAGGGCGCTCATTCACGCGCTACGCACCGCGGACGGCGTCTGAAATACGGGCCTTCCTCCCGGAGAGATGACAGAGTGTAAAAATGAGTTACTCAATGGAGAGAGGAGAACCGCTACAGTATTACATGCATCCCTGTGTGGAAGGAGGTACTGCAGTGAGATGATTAAAGTTAAATAGCTGTGTGACCACAATATGGCCGGCCATAATCCCAGGAGAATCCCTTCTGGTGAACCTATTTCATAAATACTTCACTTTAATGCTTTAATGAAAATATGCAGCTGTTTAAACAGATAAAATTAAAGTTGCTTTGGATAAAAATACCAACTAATGGTTCACATCATAATTACACTGAAAACTGGGGAACTAAAACATGGAACTAGGGGACAGCTTAGGTTCAGTAGGAGACAGACCGGGTTCAACGTGGAACAAAGCAAGGCTGCATTGCTTTGCATGCAGCCTTGCTGATGCTGGGCGGCTGGGCTATGGCTCCCTCCTGATGGTGTGCCCTGGTCTATCGCCCAGTGACCTCAGAACCAGATTGTCCCGGTTCAATAAGGCTGCCCAGCATACACAATGACATAAGGAGCACCTGGGTCAACAAGCCACTAGCATGATCACCTATTGGCTGGCGCACCATCAGCGGAGTTTCCTATTGGCTGGCGCACCATCAGTATGGTTTCCTATTGGCTGGTGCACCACCAGCACAGCCACCTATTGGCTATGGATCAGATTTCGTAAGGTCTGGTACCAAAAGCCTCTTTACAGAAGAAATGGGACCCAACATCACTGCCATCAAACTGACAAACTGGCTTACAAAGACTGTTACACACTGTTTTTTATGCCCAGAATATAGGCAGGAGATTCAAAGCTGACAGTATCTGTTTAGGAACAAGACAGAAACAGTCAAATGCAGCAAAAAAATATGGCTGGTTGACACCGTGTCAAATACAGATACCAAAGCTTGGACAGATCATGGTCTCTAAAATAAGAGGGCCATTATCAAATGGGTTTTTAAGTCTTCACAGGCAATCGATCAGAATGACATACACTCCTCTGCATCCTACAGGAAAAGACGAGCAAAGATGACAGACCAGAAATTGTGGCCAATTCTGGTATCATCAAGACCGCAGTGGAACATCGTGCAGATGAGCAACACAAGACATTAATGAAGTTTCCAGTTTGTTGTACACAGTAGTTCGCCTTTATTTGAGATTTTTAATAGCACCTAGTTTGTTGCAGACTAAAAATGCGAGTTTCATTTTATTGGTTGTCAGTGGAGCCACGCAATAAATATATAGTCTGCTAAAGACACATAAAGAGGTTCGAATGAAAAATGATACATAAAAAGCCGTGCGATCTCCCGACAGAAAAACGCAGATGGTATAAATGTTAATATATTGTGTTCCACTGCCATCGTGTGGTTGTTTTACAAAATGCGTATGATATAAAATAGGGGTATATCGCAAAGTTCTGGTGTGCAGTTTAAAATGCATTCCACTGAAGGCGATTAAAATTTAAATATGTTTTTAAATGTTATTTTGTGTTGTGTATAACTCTTTGTTTATGGTGATCCGGAGCCTAACTGTGCAAGCATGTAGTGTGGGGACTCGTAGACCAACAAGCAGAACATAAGCAGGGCAATATCTCACAACCCTGAAGCGACAGCATAATCTAAATACAAATAGTTCGTGAGAAAAACATATTACACATTATATACTCCCTGGAGACGTGCCTATCAATAATTCCTTTCAAGGACAGATTTGAAAGTTGTGCTCTGCTAATAGAAAGCTCTTGTAAAGTCAAAGCTACCGATTGGGTCACCGATTAAGTATTGCGCAAGCAGAAAGGGACTTTGCACCAACTAATAACGCCCTCCACAAAATTTTGACCAATGCCATATTGCTTTCACGTTCATTTTAAACAAGCAATTTTGACACCGTCCCTTTCCGCATAACACGTGCTCTTTGCCCTGTTGTTACGATTTTTTATGATTATGTTGCGCACAGCCCAGAGAGGCTTCGTTGAGCTTAATTCTAGTTTTATAAGGGTACTGCGACGCAACATGTCTTCCTCCCAGTCCACACACACCGGGCGGCCGGTGACTTTACTTGGAACGATGGCCTTCGGCGGGCGGGCTGATGCGGACACTAGCGCCAGGATGGTGCGAGCGTACCTGGAGCGCGGTCACGCCGATTTGGACACGGCTTTAATGTATACAGGTGGGAAGTCAGAGGCTATTATCGGGGAAATTGGACTCCCCAAAACAGGTAAATAACGTCGGCAAAGCGCATTATGGACATTTATATTAAAAGCGCGCATGTTTGGTGTATACAGTTCAGTCAGTTCTGTGGTTCCTCGGCGTCGTTAGGTCGGGATATAGCCCCGATGACAATTATCCTCCAAAAAAAAAAGAGAGTCAAGCCCCCGGTAAACTTGACTTAGCCCCTGGTCTTTTCAATAACCAGAAAGTCCCCAGCTGTGGTCCATAGTATGTGTGCCGGCCAAGGCTGGAGGATTGTCAGGTGACTTAACCGCTCACCGGAAGTGACGTCTTTACCAACATGCCGTGCTATTCCAGTGAGAATCGCCACCAAAGCCAACCCGTGGGAGGGGAAAACCCTGAAAGCGGAGAGCGTGCGCTCCCAGTTGGACACCTCCCTGCAGAGGCTGCGCACCCAGTGCGTGGATGTGTTCTACCTGCACGCCCCCGACCACGAGAACCCAGTGGAGGACACGCTGCGCGCTTGCAACCAGCTGCACAAGGAGGTCCCGCCCCAGATCGAGCCTCTGTCCCACATTACCCACCGTCGTGGTGTTAATGATGACCATCATCAAAATCCTCTGTACTTTATGCAGCATTGTTAGAGTGTATTGTTCTGTGTATGTAGTATGTATTGAGCAGTTCATCATTTTATGGCAGCGGTATCTGCTATGGTTTAAGCTTTCGACCAGGAAGGCTCTGCCAATGAACTTTATCTGCTTTGAATTGCTTTAATTGAAATCCAGCTGCGAAAGCCCCTGTGACGATATTCTGCAATTTTGCTGTGGTTTTCAGCAGATCTGACCCACTATATAAACATCTACAGTATGTGTATCAAAATGGAGTGTGATTTAAGAACATGTTTATCATTTTAAAAACTTAGTATGCTTATATATTCGTAATCTCTGCAAAGAGTTAAATGGACATATCAGTTTTAATAATTTGGTAAAAAAAAATAATTAACATTCAATAATACTTTAAAACTTATTTTAAATTACAGGGTTGCACATCCATATTCACTTTCCTGAATTTGATACTGTCAGCTGTCAAAGGTTACTAGGATTCCAGC